TTACTGAAAGTCAGCTACATATCGCCGACAATAAGATTGTACATGGGCCTTTCCTTGTCTTCATTTACCACTGAGTCACTGTCTGATGGACTCCTGACATGTACCATCAGTCAGCATGCTATCTTTTTTCAACAGTGAAAGCTACCACCTCCAAATGGGCCTACCTTCGGGATGGCTTTGTGCGCCGTCGTCGCATCGTCGGCGCCGCCCTACCCAGCGGCAGTGGCTATGAGGCGCTGAAGAAGCGGGACATGGCCAAGCAGTGGCCATACTACAGCCTCATGGAGACACTGATGGCACGGGTCACTCAGGAGCGAAGGTAGGATTCACATTCACTGCAGTTTATCATTATCATGATGCATAACTCTGCAATTAAACGTGCCTGGCTGATAACCTCCTTGCTAATTATAAATTCCGTAACCTCTCCGTATGCTTATCTTAACCTGCGCCCCGCTGGGCTATTCAGCCATACGCGCCCTGCTGGGGGGGGGGGCAGATTCTGCCCCCCCCCCCTGTCTAACTTCCGAACCGATGGTCGTAGAAAGACGGGGAAAACGGCAATCGAAAGCTCTCAACAAGGCGGATCTTAAGAGCCCAAATTTTTTTGCTTAAGTAGGTCAGAGGTCAGGTCAAGGTGAGGTCAAGGGTACAAAACGCAAGTTTCTACAGTATCGGCCTTGCACCGTAGTTGCCGAAGAATGGACTGAGACTGATTGCTCAAAACGTGTTCTTAGACTACCAAGACAATATTCGTTGCACACAATGTCATGCAAAGGTCAAGGTCAAGGTCAGGTCAGGTCAGGTCAGGTCACCAAAAACAAAATATAGAAAAGGGCATGTGCGACACATGTTTTATGGGCCATTTTACTCATGGAATTCAATAGGCACACTCAATAAGTGATATGGACCACCTCTGGATGAATTTCAGGTCGAGGTCAGGTCAAGGTCAGGTCAAGTGAGGTCAAATTTTGAAGTTGGTTGTTAAGGCCTAAAAAGGTGTCTACCCGATGCAGTTTTTCACGGCGAATCGAATGGTGCTATTTTTGTTTCCGTGCGAGGTCTAGAAATTCCAAAAAAATCATTTTTCAAAAATTTTGTGTGTCGTGACGTCATAAAATTTTGAATAACTCCCACATTTTTGAACCGATTCTTCTAAAAATTGGTATGTAGGTGCACATAGACCACTTCTTTGACATATATTCCGGTTTTTTCGATAAACTCAAAATTTTCGATTTTATAAATATTTTCCCAAAAAAGTCAGTTTTTTGGAAACATTTTGGCCAAAATCCAAAATTTTCAAAAAACCGAGATAGCCATTTGATAGACAAAGTAAAATCACGTATAAACTTTTTGTTACGTCTTGATTCCTTTAAAAATGAAGATGTTAGCGGCGTTTGAAATTTTGCCGTTTTTGAGGCGAAAATGGCGAACATGACGTCACTAAAACGTCAATTTCTCAAAAAATTTCCGACGGATTTCGCTCAAATTTTCAGGGAACGTGTCAAATTGATGTATGATAAGGTACTGAAAGTTTGACGTCGCTGGCGTAACGCGTTTAGAAGGTATTGGCGAAAAACGGGAGGGGGGCAGATTCTGCCCCCCCCCCCCCCAGCGGGGCGCGGGTTAACTTTAATGTGTGTTTTTCTAGTCATACTATACTGTGCACTACAGGAGGGAGGACTTGTTCCATGTGCTAGCGCCACCATGCGGACGGACATGGCTCATTAGTTTAGCTTAATTACGAGTTGCTGCCGGTAGGTGTCCGTAATGTCACTAGTTGTCGCGTAAACAGCACGGAGCGTGTGTGATGCGGAGTACGACCTTGATCAGGGTGGTGTTTCACCGGTGATAGCAGCACGCTGCTATTCTGCTGACGTCACACGTGTGGTAGTGTTGGAGCAATGGGCTTGCTGACGTCTCCATGGAAACCCAATTTGACCCGTGTAATAGCAGCGTGCTGCGGTGCTGCTACCACCGGTGAAACACCACCCAGATGTCAAGGTGACAGTTGATATATTGACTTTTTTGTCAGCTGGAATAAATTGACGGTGTACTGGGGTGTACTTAAAGAACCTTGATTAATTTCTATGTTTTGTTGCTAGTGGAGAAGACAGCCTGTTTTCCGAGACGATGCCTGCCGCGCCAACACAGCCAGGACCGAGTAGCAACGAAGGCAGCGACCAGGACGGAGTAGCTGGTGGCGACGACATCGAAGTGGATCCATCAATGTAAGTCTCAAGTCCACAGCTCACACTTCATAATATATGTCCCAGGTATTCCTGATCCAAAGCACTGACTACTGAGAACTGACAGCTCGCTTCTTGCGGCACCCATTTTGCACTCGTTAAAGCATAACAAATATGGGGCAAATGTGATTATGCTTGGGGGATCGTGAAAAGTGAACTGCAGAAGAGCTACCCAGTCAACAATCCATCCATCCGGTTACGCCTCCGGCAGTATACATATCTCACTGCTAAACTTGTGTAAAAAGGATAAAATTCAAAGATCATTTCGTCTGATAGACTGGCGGGTTGATCATCTTTCAAGACCAGTACGCCCTAAAGCCCTAATAAACAACAAAGACCAGTACTCCGTCGTTATTGCCTGGAACTAGTTGACTTTAAATGACGGTGTTCCAACACGTTCATGTTCGTGACTTGTTAGTTGTTGTCCATTCTCTATCGGTCACATATTTTCCTGTCGTGAGTCAGCAGGTCAAGATCACCCAGCATCATATATTTGACTATTCTCCCTACTTATCGTTCTCTGCGTTTTTGTCTTGCCGACAGCGTGATAAACTCGCAACCGGCGGGGAGCGGCGGCCGACGCCACCACAGCCGCTCAACGCCGTCGCCGCTGGAGGGCCAGACGCCTCAATCGAAGCGGCAACTGCAGCAGCAGCAGCAGTCCACAGCCATCAGCGAAGTCATAGGCCTGATAAAGTCCCGTCGAGCCGTCCGTGACGAGTACGACTCGTTCGGGGAAGTGGTGGCACATGCCCTACGAGGCATGCCGGCTGAAAGAAGTGGACGGCTGCGCTTCAAAATCGCCGCCCTGCTTTTTGGGGATGGTTCTGCTGATGTGGAATAAGGTGGAATGTGTTTAAACCTACACCCAGACAGCTGTAACGAGCCGAGCTTTTTTTGCCAAATTTGGCCTTTGCCTTAGATTAGAGGAGTTGTAAGGATTTCCAGTTGGAAAAAGGCTGTGTCCAGCTGTGTCGTATGTGTTTTTCAGTGTATATATGATGTTATATTCTCAATTCTGTGAGCTGTACAATCCAGAGGTTCCTATGACAGGCTGTGATTGGAATACACGTTGCCGTTTTTACTAGATAGAGGGACGAGGAATTGATATGAATATCGAACAAGACGAAGAGGAAGAGTTGTTGCTGGCATTATTATTGCAAGAAGAGCACATGACGTCCTACATGACGTCTTCGGGGGCCGTGTTGACTCCGTGGAAATCCTGGGCAGCTTCGGACTTGCTGTCCCAGCCAGGGCAACTCGCGCGCAGCCCTGTCTGAATGTCCCAGCCGCCAGAGTAGGCACCATCAAAGATGGATTGTTTTGCCGTCTACCACGTCGGATTAATAGCCTGTACCAGGTGACTCCTGGAGCGGACATTTTTGGAAGGCGCTCTCGTTTTATGAAGTGTGTGTCTGTGTTCGTTCGCCATACAGTGTGAATTTTAACCCGGGCGGGGCTGGGGTCTCCAGCCGAACGCGCGGGGCTGGGGGGGGTAAATTTTACCCCCCCTGTTATCTCCCGAACTAATGGTCCGATTTGGAAAATTCAAACGCCAATCGAAAGCTCTCATCACGAACTACTAAAAACATGTACTTAATTTAAAGTTTGAGGTCAAGGTCAAGGTCAGGTCAAGGGTACAAATTGCAAGTTTCTACAGTATCGGCCTTGCACCGTAGTTGCCGAAGAATGGAGTCATGGACTGAGACTGATCGCCCAAAACGTGTTCTTAGGCTACCAAGACAATATTAGTTGCATACAATATCATTCAGAGGTCAAGGTCAAGGTCAGGTCAGGTCAGGTCAGGTCACCAAAAAAACAAAATATAGAAAAGGGCATGTGCGACACATGTTTTATGGGTCATTTTACTCATAGAATTCAATAGGCACACTCAATAAGTGATATGGACCACCTCTGGATGAATTTCAGGTCGAGGTCAGGTCAAGGTCAGGTCAAGTGAGGTCAAATTTTGAAGTTGGTTGTTCAGGCCTAAAAAGGTGTCTATCTGATGCAGTTTTTCACGGCGAATCGAATGGTGCTATTTTTGTTTCCGTACGAGGTTTAGAACTTCCAAAAAAGTCATTTTTCAAAAAATTTGTGTGTCGTGACGTCATAAAATTTTGAATAACTCCCACATTTTTGAACCGATTCTTCTAAAATTTGGTATGTAGGTGCACATAGACCACTTCTCTGACATATATTCCGGTTTTTTCGATAGACTCAAAATTTTGGATTTTATGATGATTTTCCCAAAAAAATCAGTTTTTTGAAAAAATTTAGGCCAAAATCCAAAATTTTCAAAAAACCGAGATAGCCATTTGATAGACAAAGTAAAATTACGTATAAACTTTTTTGTTACGTCTTGATTCCTTTAAAAATGAAGATGTTAGCAGCGTTTGAACTTTTGCCGTTTTTGAGGCGAAAATGGCGAACATGACGTCACTAAAACGTCAATTTCTCAAAAATTTTCCGACGGATTTCGCTCAAATTTTCAGGGAAGGTGTCAAATTGATGTAAGAAAAGGTACTGAAAGTTTGGCGGCGCTGCGCGCCGCCGTTTTTGAGATATCACAAAAATTCGCGACGGGGGGTAAAATTTACCCCCCCCCCCCCCAGCCCCGCGCGGGTTAACAATGTGTGTCGTATTTATTGTTTTTATATGTCTGACTCCGTCTATTATTGGGTTTTCGGACCTGTTGATGGTATGCAATAAATACAATACAATACAATACAATACAATACAACAGGAGCCAGAACGTCGCCGCAGAATGTGGGTGCGTCAACCTGTGTTGCGCAGGCAGGAGATGGGCGAGTTTCGAGCTTTGATGGCCCAGGAGCGTGAAAATGGAAGTGCTTTTCATAACGCATATCGCATGTCACCGGAGGCCTTCGATGAGTTGACTGTACAGCTGGAGCCTGCCCTGCGACGTCAGGACACCAACTTTCGATTGGCCATCACCCCAGCGGAGAAGCTAGCCCTTACCATAAGGTGATCATAATTGTAATTTTGTAAGATTTAGAAAAGGGTTATGAGAAACAAAGAATATAGTGCAGACTCCATATAAAAATAGATGCAAATAAATTGCAGATCCCTACTTCTGGATGGTCAGTTTTCAGGTTGACTCAGTTTCCAACACATTGAAATGCTTAAATTGTCAAGCAAGCCGAAATGCACTTACATAGCTACAATCATGTTTGTCTGCTAATGTGATGATTAATATGCTGCTAATGCTGACAGATTAAAATATAGATAAAGCTGGTATAAACTGCCTTGGAAATTTGACTGCCATTTTCACTTTGCAAAGGGCCGTTTATTACTATTCCCAACTGTTTAGGTACTCCAGCATATCCTCACGTATTGATTGTAACTGATTGTAACTTGTTTGAAAAGTAATTGAATGATGAGGCTAACTTTGATAATCTTGCACAGGTACCTAGCTTCTGGCATGTCCCAGAAAGATGTAGCTCGCTACTTCAGGCTGGGTCGAGCTACAGTGTCCAAGGCTATACCAGAAGTCTGCCAGGCCATCTGGAACATCATTGGGCCCATCGAGCTGCCTCCTCTGACTGAAGAAAGCTGGCTGGAAGATGCTGCCGAGTTCGAACGGAGGTGGAACTTCCCTCATTGTCTAGGTTAGTGTCATGTCTAGGTTAGTGTGATGTGTTATTGCAAATAATTGAATTTAGCAAAATTAAAAAAACAGCCAGTTGACATATGGCTTATGCAATAATTTTTACTTCGCCACACTATTATGTGAGCCAGGCTACACCAAAAGGCTCCTATTTCCTAACCAATCGTTTGTCTTAATTAATCTGCCACCTATTGACCAAATGCACATTTCCTTATCAGTTGTAGTACCATTGGAATAAACATTTTACCAGTTTCCATTTCATTTCTGCAGGAGCCATTGACGGCAAGCACATCGCCATTCAGAAGCCGGGCCTGTCGGGCTCAGCCTTCTACAACTATAAGGGAGGTTGCAGCGTGCTGCTGATGGCGGTGGCCGACGCCGACTACCGCTTCAAGTATGTCCACGTCGGCGCCTTCGGCAGGGAGCACGATAGCACCGTGTTCAACCGTTGCGGCTTCGGCCAAAGGCTGGCTAGGAGTGAGCTGAACCTGCCGGTTGCGCCAGAAGGGGATTTGCCTTACTGTTTTGTAGGTGACGAGGCCTTCCCGCTGCGGGAGACCATCATGCGGCCGTACCCCGGGAGGGTCCTTGATTTTTGTTGTTTATTGGGGCTTTAGGGCGCGCCGACTGCGAAGGTCATTTTGCGCCCATAACGTCACACTAATAAAACAAGTGTTTCAAAACAAGAGACCTTCTATATACCAAGGCTAGAAAGTAAAAGACTTGATGAAAAAGACAAGGTAAGATAGAACAACGCACGAGCGTCGTAACGGTCAACTGACTAGACAAGTAGACTAGAGAGGAATTGGGTCAGGTTGAGTAAATCACTTGGAAGTTGACCGAACGGATAAAGGAAAAAATATTGCCGGATAAAACCCAGGGTGACTCGTCACCCAGTAGGTGGCGGATAGTGGTACCAGGAGCAATACAGCCCAGGTAGCGTGTCCGGTTCCGTTCAAAGAGTGGGCAAGATAAAAGAACGTGAGCGACGGTTAGAGGCACAGAACACCTGTTGCACAAAGGCTGCTCACCTCCTGAAAGGAGATAGCTGTGCGTCGCGTATGTGTGACCAATACGGAGTCTGCAGAGGGCCACTTCCTGGAAACGATTGCCTTGCAGGCAAGACTGCCAAGGCTCTAGAGTTGGTTTCAACTCTCTCAGCTTGTTCCTTACACACAAATCCCACTCTGCCTGCCACTTTGAAAGCATGAAGGGTCGCACCAGCGGATACAAATCCCGGGCAGGCAGAGGCAAGCGCCGAGTGCAGGGTGCTGCGGCGGCGCGTCTGGCAGCAGCATCAGCAAGCTCATTGCCTTCAATGCCGACGTGACTGGGAATCCAGCAGAAACGGACTGATTTTCCAGATTGCTCCACCGACGTAAGCCGAGTTAAAATGTCCCGCACGATGGGGTCAACTGAGTTAAAAGTACGTAAGGCCAATAAGCTGCTAAGAGAATCAGATAAAATCAAGTAAAATGGACTGGTGAGGATAGCTATGGATAGGGAGGGCCCTTGATGAGGGGGATGATGCACAGCAGACGCGTCGCAAAGTGTATAATTACAGACTAAGCAGAGCTCGACGTGTAGTGGAAAATGCTTTTGGCATTTTAGTAACAAAGTGGAGGATTTTTAGGCAGCCAATCATCGCACAGTGGCCCTTTTTCAGAATTAGCACGCATAAATTCAAAATATTTTTTCTCTTCTTTTGAGTAAAAAGCAGTCTAATCGTGTGCAAAACATTCCAAACTATCCGATGGTGCCATTTTTACCTCCTAAAAAATAATTATCTTTGGTAAAACTGACCGCAAAATAGAAGTTTGTCGAGAGGCGCGCGGACACCACCGGCGGACCCTAAAAAGTAGGGTGAGATGAACATCAATTTGTAAGGCTTTCGGTGAGAAAATATTAAAAATTAGTGGCATGGCTGTGAAGCTGAGTCTACGTAGAAGCCCTAGAACCCACAATTTCCATTGTATAAACTTAAATTGACCACTTTTGCCGAATATTGTGAACACAATAACAGGACAATTATTAACTGGAGATGGCGGCATACATATGAAGCTTTATGTTAAGTAGCACACTCTGGGACATATCGTATTATACATCGTTCGAATCGCCGATCTCTTCTGACCATGTCCACCAAAGGGCATCGCGCCATTTTGCGCCATTTTGCTTCTACGGTGGATAACGTGAGCCCGTTCAGTCCGCGAGCGGCTGTGGCTCCTGTTCGATACGACTAAGCTCATTGACCTGGCTCGAAGCTGGTGTCACCTGGTGTGCGCCTAAATGTGGCTTGGCTTTTGCCTAAGATGTGCATATTGAAATGTCATTTAGGCATAACGCTGTGCTCAAGAAAAACTGTCCGATTTCTTGTCGCGTTTGATGTCCAAGCCGCACAAGTCCCGTGGTCGGCTTAAGATCTAACGTCAAAAGCGCCTATGTGTTTGTATTGTTCGCGTCGCGCTGACCTTAGTTGCTGCCCGGCCGGGGCCGACTAACGATGGCTGGCAACAGCTGTAGATGCGGTCACGTGACGCCCTGGGGCGTCCTGGCGGTCAGTGCAGCGCGGTCGGCTGGCGGGCTCGCCACACTTGCGTTCGGAGCGGCCTAGGCCGGCGGGCGAGCCGTGGGAACGTGCGCCAAATCTTGGGCCGAGCGGCCTGTCGCTGTTGGGCAGAATCTCCTTGGGCAGTTCGTTTCGTTTCTTCTCTTTGCATTGGCAGGAAATACGTCCTTGATCACGTGGTGATGTCTTGCACCACTTGCAGGTAATGTGGGAATTAATGCGTGCTAATTCTGAAAAAGGGCCACTGTGCATCGCCAAAACCTCCACCGTTGACGACATCGTGCGCGCCAGTTGTGTCCTTCACAATTTCCTTCGGCGCAGGGACGGCGTGTCGAACGACCGCCGATATATCGAGGTCAACGACGTGGACCACGATGACCGCGATGGGAACGTGGTGCCTGGACCTTGGCGAGCGCACGGTGAGGCCATGGGCCTGAGAGACGCGGGCCGTCTGGCCGCCAACACCTACACGCGCGCTGCTGCCAGTGCCCGCGACAAGTTCGCCGAGTAGGGGAGAGTGGGGTAATTTGGCCGCTTTTTTTAGAAAACGATGTAACTAAAAATCGACAACACATTTCTGCATTTTCTCAACGCTGACAAATGTGGCATACATTTTACTTTCTTGGACAGTAAACTTGAAATGATAGATTAACTATTTATATTGAAATTGTGACGTATTACAAAGGTCTGCAAAGCGGCCAAATTGCCCCACTAGCAGGGTTATTTGGCCGGGGGTGTGGGGCAATTTGGCCGGTGTTAGTTTGAGGCCATGATTTTTGTTATAGGCGAGTCAGATTCACTTTCGGCAATGACGTGTGTCCTACGACGCATTTGAAGCATTTTGGAGGTTGACTCAGCCGTCACAGTGGTCGAAAATAGTCAAAATAGCGGCTCTAGATGCGATGACAGCTTTTTACGAATAGCTTTTGAAGTAATCAAGCTAGGCCAAAACTAAAAGTACCATCGTAATTCTCTCGTCATTCCGCATCGAAACATGTATGTGTTGACCTCGAGAGGTCAAGGTCAAAGGTTGGCTTCAGGTCACGCTACCTCAGGTCGCTTGACCTCAAGGTTACATGAGTTCAAGGTCATCATGTATATCATTCGATGCGCCTTGACGAGCTGAACACAATGAGACCATTTGCGCGGCTGTATCTTTTTTCTGTAAGTATTTATTAGCAAAAAAGCGTTAGGTAACTTTTGATGACGTCACATGCCCTTACAGCTGTCCAGTAGGAAATATGGCATCAAGGTAGTCAAAGTTGGTCATGAATTATGTCCTTTATGGTATAATTGACCATGACAGCTCGGCCGTCCCAGCATAGTGACTCCGAGCGCACCGGCCAAGTTGCCCCGCTAGTCCCGGCCAAATAACCCCACATTGCCATTCTGAAAATTTTTGTCTATAAAGTCGTCATGGCTGTACAGAACTAGATGAAATTGCTCTTGGAACCACTGAACACCCTCAAAAATGGCGCTATAATGTTGGAATTCGTTTAAAGCCCAAATACTACATGTTATACAAATTTTTAAAGGGAAGTAAAAGTTACCATTTTCTAACGAAATTCACCTTTTATTAATTTTGAATAAAACTAAGAGGGGGAAAATTTTGACATTTGTTCTCGAGTTAGTTCTACCGATGACAAATGAATAGAGACTAAAGTTATTTCATTCACTTTTATTAGCTTTCGTACAGGTGGGGGCGGCCAATTTACACCACCGGCCAAATTACCCCACTCTCCCCTACTTTGTGAGCGAGCAGGGGCGACTGCCGTGGCAGGAGGCCGTGGTGCGCCGTGGTGCTCGAGAGTGAACAGCGTCTACTTGCGACTATATGTAGTGTATAAGATGAAGGATTGTGCTTTGTTAATTTTCGAGACCAGTGTTTTGTTTTCTTCAAATCAATAGTTTTGATATTGGATTTTGAACTTGCAAATCAATTTGAAGGCCAACTCGTCATGCCTGATTGTGAAGTGTTTTGCTTGAAAGTCACTGCTAGACCCGGGTAAAAGTTGCGAGGTAATGTTACTTGATAACGTACGTTCGCATGTCATACCGTGCTTTGCAGTGGCTATGTTGAACCGAATGTCCTAAGACAATAACTTATCAACATGTTCTCCATGGCACCTGTCGTTGTAAATCAATGGATACACGGTTAATTCCCATCGGGGTGCTTTGTCCTATGCTGTGGCGAGAGAAATCTGAAAGTACCTAGGAATTCACACGGACGTATGCATTCACAGGGCATTAGTCCTACTCTGGTGACCTCCATTGCTGCAGTTCTTCCTAGCTACTATGCCTATCGTCCATTTCTTAACCATTTGATGTATCAAATGGTTTTCGTGAATAGCTGAAACCTCACAATGAAACGATCCAATCTACATCAACATAGCTCTTCCTATGAGGCATCAACTATCAACACTGGCAGATGTAAATATTAACTGCGCACAGAGTGAACTATGCGCACTGTTTCTGTCTCGGCAGCTGCTACCATATGACCCGTTTCATGGCTGCCATATTCAACTTCCCATGAAGGTGTGAAAACGGCCTCGAAAACGGCGAGGGACGGCGACGGGCCCGTTTTGACGGGTGACGGGCCCGGTGGGAACCGGGCTTAAACCTAAAGAATATAATGCAGTTGAGTGAATGTGTTAAACACTCTCCGCCCGACATCGTGGGATGTACTGACGGGACCCACATCAGCCTAACCGTCCCCAGGGAGCAGCGATAAGCATACCTAAATAAACCGTAAAGGCTTCCCGTCCCTGAACGTAATGGCCGTCGCTGCATCTGACCGTCCAATCATCACGTTGAACGTACATTGTGGCGGTCGGGTGCACGACGCTCGGGTGCTCACTACATCGGGGATGCCTGAGTATTTCTGCAATGGAAATCCCGTAATGGGCGGCATGATGCTGGGTGACAGTGACTACGGCCTTGCACCCTGGCTCATGACGCCCACCGCGGACCCCACCACTGCCGAGGAGCGCGCTTATAACGCCGTTCACGCTCGCACTCGTGTGGTGGTGTAGAACGCTTTTGGTCTCCTCAAGATGCGTTTTGGTGCACTTCAATTCGAGTCTCGGAGACTGCGGTGGAGCCGGAGAAAGATGTGTTCTTAGCCAGGATCCGGAGCCTGGACCAGAAGGCTTCCGCTATAACAAGACTGCAGGAGTCGGGGACGCTGAGCAGTCAGCAGATGCGGCGTCTGGCAACTGGGAGGCGCCACCGCTGGTCTACCGAGGAAATTGGTGTGACTGTTGGGCTACGATGCATCAGTCACGAGGCATACGCCTTCGTCCAGCCAGTCATGCACTTCCCTCTGCCGTCATGCAGTACCCTGTCAGCCCGCGGCTTATATCTTACTTAATGGATCTCCAAAGGAGCAAGACTGTCCTGGCTGCTTGCTGCTGTACAGCGCATGAGCGGCATGGAACGGCTCTGCGTCCTGTGCTTCGACGAAATGTCGCTGAACGGAGGATGGTGCTACGACCAGATGACAAACCGAGCCATGTCAGCCACGAAGCTCCAGCTTCTCATGGTGCGGGGCCTTTGCGCGTCGTGGAGGCAGCCGTGCTACTACGGCATGAGTGCGCCGATGAACATGACCTCCATCAACGACGTCGTTGACGACCTCGAGGTCACCGGTCTGCGTGTCATTGCTGCCGTCTCCGACATGGAACCAAGCAACGAGCGGATGTGGCGCCAGGCAGGTGTCTCGGACAGCCAGAGCTGCATCGCGAGACGCAAACCCAGCCGCCCCGAGAGGTTAAGATACTTAAAATTCTTGGAATAGATTTCGGCTGAATTTTCACGTGGAATCGGCAATCAAGGCGTTCTTTGCGGATTACATGCGGAATTTCACTTGAACTCCCGCGCCATTTCGCGTGAAAAACGAGAATCGAGAAAGCTTGCCCCAAGCCCTATTTTCAACACGGCGACGGGCAGTGGAGAAGGGAATGAGTGTGTAAGTATGATATGGACTGCTTTTGAGGAGAATGATCAAGGCCATGAGGCTCATTACAACTGTTTTGATCTTGTACAGATTCAGTTTTCTTTATTTTCGGGCTACACTGAGGAAAAAAAGATTAAAAACCTATTTCGGCTTTATCGAGATACCTCGTTCACTGGTTTCCCGTGATTTGATTTTTCTAGGAAATTATTTTTCCATCAGTGTAGCCCGAAAATAAAGAAAACAATTATTAACCTGAAGAAAATTTAGATGTACGCGCGCAGCAGCGGGCTTGGGCGCGCCGGAGGGCCAGCAGACACGGTCTGCTTGTCTGCTTGGGCGAGAGCCACGCCAGGCGTGCTGCCCGGTGCCTGCCGGCCACCTCCACCACAGGGGCCGTGGTGGAGGCCATGCATGTGACCTCCGGGGGCGCGACGGGTGGGGCTGCCGCCGAGGACTGCCGAAAGATCCTGTCAGCTTTCCTCCTAGGGCAGCTGGGCCCCTCCCCAACGCCTGTGGTTCCCGCCCCAGACGTAATCGTGGTGTCGCTCGGGGGAACGCTCTCACCCCCCGGGCGACACCACACAGTGCTCACACAAACGCCCCCGCCATGGCTGCGTCGGTGGCCCAGAACATCAAATGGCTGATCAGGTGCCTGCTGATGTTCGGCACCTCGGAGGCCACTGTCATTCTCCTGACGGGGGTCCCGTGGGCCCAGTTGTCACCCAGCAAACACATGACGTTGGTACAACGTTGTCAGGACGTTGCATTTCGGTAAGTTATGGTACAACGTTGTAAGAACGTTATGGCAACATTACAAACGTTGTCCGTTAGCAAGGTTGCCGGTAGGTCGTGATTTTACGTTTTGTTAACGTTATCGGACATTTTTCGCAATGGACATTTTTTATACAGTGTTCTTCACTTTGTAACTTTTGCATTTCAAGGAAACCATCAGAAAGTCCTATACAAACTGGAGAGCGTTGTCGCTCAGCGAAATCATTGCGTCGCTGCGAGTGCTGACTGCGGAGTTCAAAACTTCGCGAAAAAAAACGAGCGTGTTGTCCATGATACAAACAAAGCCAATGGTACTCAATTTTAAGGTCCTAGGTCAACCAGTGATCTCAGAGGTCAGGTCAAACACTCCTCTCAGAGCTAGTATGTCACTGGAGAGTGGAGATGGAGCTCTTCTGGATGCTATAAAATCGACAAAAGTGAGCAAAATCATTATCAGAACAGGCTGAAACATTCCAAATTACAATAACCTTGACCCTGAGTGTAAACAGGGTCTCAAGGTCACCCGAGGACAAGAGATTTTGTGAATAACCTCGTAGACTTCAACCTTCTGTTGCAGATAAACCTGCTCGTCCTCCTCGGCTGTGCCACGATGGGGGAGACTGTGCGGCGCATCATGAGAAAAGTTGGGTCCAACAGTCTGTGGGCCGGCTGCAGCCCACATGGAAGAAAGGGGAAGGAAAACTTCGCAAAAACACAGCTGTGCTCTGTAAGCACGAGTAAGACACTTTGCTTTTGGATAATAACTTTGTGAGTCATG